CATGCCCCCACCCCCCCCCCATCACTCATAATACAGATATCTTGTGTATATTAGCGAAATAATATGTACCTAATGAACACAATATACCATACATAGCACGTGCACACACACAATTATCATATCATGATTCACAAAACACTGGAAAACAAGTGAAAAGATAATGTGTTCTGGCATAATATTATATTTATAACAACATACAATATCAAGGAAATAACCAAAAAACCCCACCTACCAAATTTAACTACACTACCAATAAACAATCCCCATTAAAAATACTTTTTCAACCCACCTCTCACCCATTACAAATAACACTCCCCCCCTACATACACTATCCACCTCACCACCCATCCAAACCCACAAAACACTAAAACCCTCATTTTACACCCCCCAAAAAAACTAAACTCCCCCCATCACCCCATCCAATTAACCCCCCCTCCCTCTAACATATCCCCACATCAAATCTATTCCCCACCTCAAAAAAAACAACCAAAACAAACATCACCAAAACCCTAATATCTCCCCCTCACCCCCAACAAATCCCAATACCAATACAAAATCATCATCCTAAAATAAATACCCAATCCCACCCAACCCACCCACATAATAATACCCCCACACCCACCCCCCTCTCATTAATATTACATCAACAATCCCCCCCACAAAAACCACAATACCTCCCTCCTCATATCTACACACACACAACCCAACCCACCTCACCAACATACCACACACCCACACAACCACCCCACACACCACAAACACCCCCCACAACACACCCACACAAACCCCCCCCCAACCCCCACCACAACCCCCAACACAACACCACCACCAACACCCCCCTACCCCCCACCCACACACCCCAACCACACAACCACCCCCACCCCAACACCCCACCCACCAAAACCCCCACACCCCCACAACACCCAACCCCACCCCAACCACCCCACACCACCACACAACCACCCCCCAACCCCCCACCCCACCACCCCAACCACACCACCACAACCCACCCCACACCAACACACACCCCCCACACCCCCACCCAACCCACACACCCACCACAACACCCACCCAACACACCCCCACCACACACCCCAACCACCCCACCCCACACACCCACACCCACCAACCACAACACCCACCACCCCACCCACCACACCCACCCCCAACCACCACACACCCCCACAACCCACCACCCACACCACCCCACCACACCACCCCCACAACCCCACCACCCCACCACCCCCCACACAAACCACACCAACCACCACACCAACACACCCCCACACACCCCACCACCCACCAACCCCAACACCACAAACCAACACAACCCCCCCCACACCACACCCAACACCCACCCCCCACACACAACCCCCCACCACCCCACACCCACAACCACCCACCCCACAACCAACACCACACAACCCCCCACACCCCCCCACCACAACCCACCCACAACCCACCCCCAAACACCCACAACCACCCCCACCCCACAACCCACACCACACCCCCACACCCCACAACCACCCACCCACCCCAACCCCCCACACCCCACAACCCACACCCACCCACCACAACCACACCCCCAAACACCACCACAACCAAACAACCACCACCCACCCCACACAACACACCAACACACCAACCCACCACCCCACCCAACACCACCAACACACCCAACCCCCACCCCCACCCCACCCCACCCACCCACAAACCACCCACCACCCACCACCACCCACACAACCCAACCCCCACCAACCCACAACCACCCCAACCCACACACCACCACACCACACCCCACCCCCCACACAACACCCCAACCACCCCACCCCCACCCACACACCCCACACACCCAACCCAACACCCCACCACCACCACACCAACACCACCCCCAACCACCCCCACACACCAACCACACACCCACCACACCCCAACACAACCAACCCCCCACCCCCACCCACAACCCCCCCCACCCCCACCACCACACCCCACAACACCACCACCCCCACAACCCCCCACACCCACCCACACCACCCACCCCACACAACCACCACACCCACCACACCAACACCCACACCAACACCACCACACCCCCCACCCCCAACCACACCACAACCCCCCCACCACCCCACACCACACCCCCCACACCCCCACCCCAACACACCCCCCCACCCACCCACCACCACCCACCAAACACCCCACCCACACCACCCCAACCCACCCCCACCACCACCCACACAAACACACCCCCCAACCCCACCCACCACCCCACACCAACCCCACAACCCACCCCACCACACACAACCCCCCCAACCACACCCCACCCACCAACACCCACCCCCACCCACCCCCACCACCACAACCCCACCACAACCACCCCCACCCACAACCCCCACACCCCCCACACACCCACACCCACCCACCCAAACACCCACCCCCACCCACACCACCCACAACCACCACAACCACACCCCCACACCCCACCCACCCCACCCCAACACCCCACCCCACACAACCCACAACCCACCCCACACACCACCACCACCCCAACACCAACCCCACACAACCCCCCCCCCACCCACCACACCACCCCACCAAACCCCACCCACAACACCACCCCCACAACCCACCACCACAACCACAACACCAACCCCACACACCCACCCACACCACCCACCCACCCCCAACCCCCACACACCACCCCACACCAACCACCCACCCCCAACCCCCACCAACACCCCACCCCCACCACCACCACACACCCCACCCACCCCCAACCACACCCCACCACACCCCCACACCCACCACCCACAACCCCACCAACCCACCACCCACCCCCACCACCCCACCCAACCAACCCACCCACCCAACCCCCCACCCCACCAACACCACCAAACACAACCCACCCCACCACACCCCCACAACCACCACCCCACCCCAAACCACACCCCACAACACCACAACCCACCAACACACCCACCACCCAAACACCACACCCCACCCACACCCCAACACCCACCAACACCCCACCCCCACCCACCAACACCCCACCCCACCCACCCACCCAACCCCAACACCACCACCCACCCCCCACCCAACCCCCACAACCACCACCCCACCCCAACACCACCCCACCCACCCAACACCCCAACCCCACAACCACACCACCCCCAACCCCACCCCCAAACCACACCAACACCACCCCACACCACCCCACCCCCCACACCCCCACCCCAACCACACCCAACACCACACCCCCACACACCACACAACACCAACCAACCCCCACACCCAACCCCACAACCACACACAACACCCACACCCACCACCCCACCCCACCACACCCCAACACCACACCCCCACCCACCCAACACACCCCCCACCCACACCCCACACCCACCACACAACCACCCACCCACCCAACACCCCACCCCCCCCACACCCACCACCACACCCCCAACCACCCACCCCCCACCAACCCCACCCCCCACCCACCACCACCAACACACCCACCCCCCACCACCCCACCACCAACCCCACCACACCCCCACCCACCCCACCCAACACCCCCCACACCACCCACACACCCCACCCCCACAACCACCCCCCCAACCACACCACCCACCAACCCCAACACACCACCCACCCCCCACACCCCCCCACACCCCCCAACCACCACCACAACCCCACCAACCCCCCACCCCACACCACCCCACCCACCACCCACCCCCCACACCCCCACACCCCCCCCCACCACACCACCCCCCCACCCACACCACCCCCAACCCCCACACAACCACCCACAACCCACCACCCCACAACCCCCCAACCCACCACCCCAAACCACCACCCACACCCCACCCCACCCACAAACCACCACCCACCAACACACCCCACACCACACCACCACCCCCACCACACCACACCAACAACCCCCACACCACACCCAACCCCCACCCACCCAACACAACCCCACCCCACACCCCCACCCCCAACACCCCAACCCCCACAACCACACCCACCCAACACCAACCCCACCAACCCCAACACCCACCCCACACCCAACACCACCCCCACCCCCACCCCCACCCCACAACCCACCCACACCCCACCCCCCACCCACCCCACACCACCCACCCCACCCCCACCCCCACCCCCCACACCCACCAACCCACCCCCACAACCAACCCCCCCCACACACCCAACACACCCACACCCCCCACCCACCCCCACCCCACCACCACCCACCACCCACCCAACCACCACCCCACCCCAACCCACACCACCCCCACCACACCCACCCCAAACCACCCCACCACCACCACACACCCCCACCACCACACCCCAACCCCACCCACCCCCCCACACCACCAACCCACCCCCACCCCACACCCCCCCCCACCCCCAACACCCCCACCCCAACCCCACACCCCCAACACACCCCAACCCCACACCCCCCACCACAACCCACCCCCCCACCCCCACCCCCAACCCCCCCCACCACAACCCCCCACCCCCCACCCCCACCACACCCACCCACCCCCCCACACCCACCACCCACACAACCCCCCCCACACAACCACCACAACCCCACCACCCCCACCCACACCCCACAACACCCCCCACCCCCCCACACACCCCCACCACCCACCCCCACAACCCACCCCCCACACCACACCCCACACCCAACCCCACCAACACCCCACCCCACCACCCACACACCCCCCACACACCCACCCCCCACCCCCACACCACCCCCCACCACCCCCACAACCCACCCAACCACAACCACCCACCCCCACAACCCACACCACACCCCACAACCCCACCCAACCACCCACCAACCCCCCCCCCCACACCACCCACCAACACCACCCCACCACCCCCACACCCCCCCACACCACCCCACCCCCCACCCACCACCCCCACCCCCCACACCAACCCCCCCACCACCCACACCCCCCACCCCCAACCACACACACCCAACCAACCCCACCACCCCCACAACCCACACACCCCACCACCCCCAACACCCACACCCCCCACCCACCAACCCCCCACCACCCCACACCACCACCCCACCCCAACACCCCACCCACACCCACACCCACCCCACAACACCCACCAACCCACACCCCCACAACACCACCCCACACCAACACCCACCCACCCCACACCCCACCCACAACACCACCACCCCCCCACACCACCCCCACCCCCACCCCACCCCCACCCAACCCCCCCACACACCCCACCACCCCCACCCACCAACCCCCACCACACCCCCACACCCACCCCACACCCCACCCCACACACCCACCAACACCCACACCACCCCACACCCCCCCCACCCACACCCCAACCACCCCCCCACCCCACAACCCCACCCCACCCCCCACCACCCCACCCAACACCACCACACCCAAACCCCACACACCCACACAACCCCCACAACCCACCCCCCACCCACCCCCCAACCCACCACAACACCCACACCCCCCACACCCAACCCCACCACCCCCACCCCCCCCCACCACCCAACAACCACCCCAACCCCCACCCCCACCACCACCCCCAACACACCCACACCCCCCCACCCCAACACCCCCCCCAACCACCCAACCCAACACCCACCCCCCACCACAACCCACACCCCACCAACAACCCACCCACACCCACCCACACCACCACACCCACCCCCAACACCCCACCCACCCACCCCCCACCACAACCCCCCCCACCCCCCCCACCACCCCACCACCCAACAACCCACCCACAACCACCCCAACCCCCCCACACCACCCACACAACACACCAACACCCCAACCACCCCCCACACCCCCACCCAACCCCACACCCACCCCACCCCACCCCCACACCCCCACCCACCCCCACACCACACACCCCCACCCCACACCACCACCCCAACACCCACCACAACCCCCACACCCCCAACCCCCCCACACACCCCACACCACCACACCAACCCACACCCACAACCCACCCCACACCCAACCCCACCCCCCCCCACCCACCCCACCCACACAACCCACAACACCACCCAAACCACCACCAACAACCCCAAACACCACAACCCACCACACCCACCCACACCCCCCACAACCCACACCCCCACACCCCACACCACCACCCACACCCCCAACCCCACCCACCCCACCCCCACCACCCCACACCAACCCAACCCACAAACCCCCACCCCACCACCCCACCCACAACCCACCCCAACAACCCACACCACCCACCAACAACCCACCCACCACACAACCACCAACCACACCCAAACCACCACCAACACCACCCACAACCACACCACCCACACCCAACCACAACACACCCTACCACCACACAAACCCCCACCAATCCACCCCTCACCCCCCTCACCCAACCCCCCCTAAAACACACACACACCACCCCCAAACCACACACCCAAACACACACACCCCCCAAATACACACCACATACCACCCCAAACCCCCCACCACCACAATACAACCAACCACATCCACCATCACCCCACAAACACCCACACACAACCAAAAAAACCCACAATCCACAACACCACACCCACCACCCCACCCACCACACACCACCTCAACACAAAACCCAACACCAACCCCCCCACCCCACCACCCCCACATCCACCACACAACCCAAACACAACCCACCCAACACAACCCACACCACCACACCCCAAAACAACCCCACCACCCCCACACCACCCCACACCACAACCACCCACACCCACCCAACACCAAACACACCCCCCCTCCCAACACCTCCAACCAACACACCATCACCCAACACATACCCACCACCACACCCCACCCCCAACTCCACCCACAAACCACCACCAACACCCCCAACAACCCACAACCCCAACACAACAATCCAAACCCCCCACACCCACACCCCACCCTACCCCAAAAACCAACCCCCACACCCCCACACACCCCCCCAACACCTCACCAACCCCACATCACCCAACCTACAAACCCAACTACCACCTAACCAAAACATACCCCCCATCCCACACAACCCTATCACCCCATACACCACACCCCTCCACCTCTATATCTCTACACAAATACCCCCCCATCCATCTTATTACCACCTACTTTTCATAATCACATTCTCCCAATTTATTCACAACCATCCCCACCCCCACCCATACCCCCCCTCCCATATCAACCCTTTCCACCCACCCATACAACATTTTCATACATTCCCATACCCACCCAAAAATAAAACATACCCCCCCCCAACCCCTCATCTTCACCATACCCCCTACTCCTCTCACTTCAACTTACCCATAACATCCTAACTTCACAACCTACACCCACCAAATACCCCCACCCCACAAATATCACCATACCCAAAACACCACACCACCACCCCCCCAAACCTCACCTAATAAAAAAAAAACCCCAAAATCCCCCCCCCCAATCACACTACCCAAATCCTTAAACATAAAACCAAACTAAACCCCATCCTATCATCACTCCAAAAACCCCATCCCCCCCCCCCCCCATACACCAATATAAAAACCAACACACACACCCTATCCCCCCCCACCACCCCCACACACAACCCCCCCCCCACTAATAAAACCCCCCACCCACATCCACCCCCCCCACCACCACCAATAACATCCCACCACCCCCCTCACATCCCACCCCAACCCCCCCCTACCATCATCCAAACCCCACCCAACAACCCTATACTACCCCACCACCAAACCCCACCCCCCCCATACATTCCATACCCACACATTCTCAACACCCTATTCACCCCCACACCCCATACCCCACCAACCCAAAACCCCCCCAACCCCACCCCAACCCCACCCAATAACCATCCCCCCCCCATTCCATCCAAACACTTCCCACTAATCAACCATACCCCAATCCCCCCTACTCATCAACCCTACCCCTCCCCACAACAATACTACACTCAAAAAAACCAAAAATCAAAAACCATTACCCATCACACCACACACCAAAACCCACCCCCCATCTAAATTTCCCAAACTAAATCCCCACTCATAAAGACCCCATATCAACCCACACCACACTCCCACCTCACCAAATAACACCCACCCCAACAACACCATACACCCCCCCAACATACCACCCACCCTACCCCCCATACCCCCATACCCCCAACCCACCCACCACAACAAATCAAACCAACAACTACCAACCCCCACCCAAACACCCACCCAACCCCCCCCCCCCCACAACCCCCCCCTCACCCATACACATCCCCACCACCCCCCCCCCCCAACCCACCCCACAACATCACCAACAACACCCCCCCCCCCCCCCCCCACCCCTACCACCCCCCCACCACCAAAAAATACCCACCACTACAAACCCTACCACCCCCCATACCCCCACACACCACACAACCCACCCCATACCACCCCCACCAAACCCCCACTCCCCCCCACCCCAACCCACCCCCCCCAACCCCCCACACCCCCACCCCCCCCCCCCCACCACCCCCCACCCCCCCCCCCCCCCAAAACCACAACACACCCCACAACCCCCCAATCCAAACCACACACCACAAACCCCCACCCACAACCACCCCCCCACACCCACCCCAAACACACATAACCCACTACACCACCCACACCCCACAACACATCACACCACCCACCACCCCACCCCCACACCACACCCCACCACACAACCCCCACCCCCACCCCACAAACCTAACACACACACCCCACACACCCACACACAAAACCCCACAACACACCACACACCTCCACACACACCCACACCCCCAAACAACCCCCCCCCACCACACCCCACACCTTATCCCCCCCAACCCAACCCCCCCATACCCCACCCACACCCCACCAACCACAAACCAACCCACACCCCCCCACACCCCCTAAACAAACCCCCCCACCAAACCACACAAAAACCACAACCCACCCCACCACCCCACACAACCAACCCCCCCACCCCCAACACCCCCCCCCAACCCCACCCATCCCACACACCCTAAACCCAACCCCCACCCCACAACACCACACCACTCCACATCCCACACCACCCACACAACAAACCTCCACACACCCCACATCACAAACCCACCCCACACCCCCACCCCCCACCACCCCCCCACCCAACCCAACACAACCACCACCCCCCCCCCACAACACACCCCACCCCACTCACCCCCCACCCAACAACAACCCACTCCCACAACCCCCCCAACCCACCAAACACCACCCACACCCATCAACACATCCACCCCACACCAAACCCCACAACACCCAATCACACACCCAAACCAACCACCCACCCACTACACCACCTACCACACAACACCACCCCCCCCCACCACAACAACCACCACCCCCACCCCCAACACCACCCCACACCACATAACCCCCACCACCCACCCCCCACCCACAACACCAACCAACCCCCAACAACCCCACCACTACCCCACCCCATCCACACCCCACCCCCAACCACCCCACCCCCCAAACCCAAACACCCCACAACCCACCACCCCCACCCACCCCTACCCACACCAATCCCCCCACACACCCATCACCCCCTACCCAAAACCAACACAACCACCACACCCCCAACCCCAACCCCCCTACCCCACCCCCACATCAACATCCCCCCAACATCACCCCCCAACACCACCCCCCACCCAAACACCCACCCCACCCTAACATAACCCTCCCACCAACCCCCAAACACCCACCCCACACCCAACCCCCAACCCACCCCCACCAAAAAACCCCCACCCACCAACATCAAACCCCCCCCCCCAACCCCCCCCCCACCCACCCAAACCCACACCCCCCCCACCCCCCCCACCCCAACCCCCCACAACACACCACCCCCCCCCACCCCCCCACACCACCAACCCCCAACCACCCAACCAACCCAACCCCACACCCCCAACATCACCCCCCACCCAACCACCAACCCCCCCACCCAACCCACTCACCCCCCCCCCACCCCCCACCACCCCAAACACCAACCAACACCCCAAACCACCAACCCCCCCCCCACCCCCCACCCACACCCCCACCACAACCCCACACCCACCCCCCCCAACCCCCACCCCCCCACCCCCACCCAACCCCACCCACCCCCCACCCCCACCCCCCCCCCACCCCCCACCCACACCACCCCCCAACCACCCTCCACAAACACAAACCCCCCCCCCCACCCAACAACAACCCCCCCAAACACCCAACCCCCCCACCCCCCCAACATACCCCACCCCCCCCAAATACCCCCCCAAAAACCAACCCCCAACCAAACCAACCCCCCCCCCCCCCACCCACCCAAACCCACCCCCACCCCCCACCCCCCCCCAACAAACACCCCCCCCCCAACCACACACCCAAACACACCCCACACCAACAACCCACCCCCCCCCCCACACACAACCCACAACCCAAAAACACAACCCCAACACAACCCCCACCCCCCCACTACCTAAAATCCCCAAACACCCCCACCCCCCCCCCCCCCCACCCCCCCACCCCCCCCCAACCCCACACCACCCCCCCATCAACTCACTCCCACCCCCCCCCACAACCCCTTACAAAACCCTCCCAAAATACCCACCTATAAACTCCCCATCCCCTCACCCCAATCCAACATACACCCACCCCACACATACCATGCCCTAACCCATTCCCCCCCCCCCCCCCACAAACACACTTACCCCTCATACCCCCCAAATTCCACCCACCCCACAATAATACAATATACCCCTCCTCTTCACAACTTCCCTATTTTCTAAATTCTCCAACAAACACCCCCCACAACAACCCCACCTCACCCCTAACTTTCTACAACCCCTATCCCCCCCCTACCCCCATAACAAACCCTCCAAAAAACACATCACAAACCCTATATTCTCCAAACTCACACTCCCCCCCCCCCCCCATCATACCCCCACATTTTACCCCCCTCATCCCCCCATCCCCCCCCCCCCCAAACCCCCCATATCCCCCCTTAACCCTTTTCATCCACCATTCACCCTATTACCCCCCTTCCCCCCCCATTCCCCTCATATACTATAACCCTAAATACCCACCTCCTCTCCCACCACCCCCCCCCCTCAACATACTCACCTAACCCCCCCTTACATTAATAAATATAACTCCCACATACTCCCTTCCAACAAACTACCCTAATTACACAATAATCACAACCTTAACACATTATACCTCAAAAAAATTTCCCATTTCTCACCCAATTTTTCCTCAACTCCACCCCCCCCAACCAACCCCCCCCTAATTCCTATATCCCTATCTTCCCCATTATTCATACCCCCCCCCCTTTTCACCTCATCACACACCCATCCATCTCCCCCCCCCCCCCCAATCTTCCACCCATAACACACTCGATCTTACATCCCCATTACCCCACATGCACTCTTTACCCACCCTTCCCCCCCCACCCATAAATCAAACCCCCCCAACTCTTAATCCATCCATTCCCCCCCCTACCCCCCAACCCCCCCCAACAACCCCCCCAACACCACCCTACAATTTCGGTTAGTGCCGTACTCCACCACCTATTAACCATAACAATATCCACCCCACAGGTGTCCTATACACTCCCCCCCCATCCCGCCCCCATGTACCATACATGTCAAAAACAAAATTTTACCCTTCCATTACAAATTCCCCTTATATAGACACCCACATAATCACCACCCTCTATAGCAGTGCCTTAACAACCCCAATATTAACAATATCCCATCCTCTCTCCGTCCTTCCCGTCACAAATAGATTTTCACAGTCACCCTTACAATATTAACATCACTATTACCCTCTCATATAACTACATACACCTCCCCCCCCCCCGAACACTAAATTTCTACTCTACTTTCATTTTCCCCCCCCCCCCCCAACAATAATCCCCTCACATCAATTCAAATAACACTCTCAATTAACAACACCAACCAACCACCCCCATACCCCCAAAAATACCAGTAAAACCCCCCTATATTACACTACCCAACCCCCCAACCATCAATGACCCACTCCCAATACCACACAATAAAACCATCCTCCACACAACCCATATATTCCCCCCCCCCAGTTTAATATTCCCCCCCCCCCCCCCATCACAACATCATATACTCCTTATCATTAGTTATACAAACCTTATCCCCCCCCTCCACTTTCAAAACCACTACAACACACCACTCCACTCCTCAATTCTAACCCATCCCACACCCCACACACACCACATATCCCCCCCATAATACCACATCATAATCCCATTTTTTTCCCCACCCCCCCCCCCCTAAACAAAATACCCTACCCCCCTCCCACCCCCACCACCACCCACCAAATACCAACCCCCAAACCACCCAAACATTTACCATGTTTTTATTCCCTAACCCTTCTCATCCACCCCCTACACAAATCCCCTCCCCCCCCTCCCCACCCATCCCCCACAATCCTTATTATCTTACCCCCTTCTTCTTCATCACAATCTATAATCTCCACTCCCCCAATCACCCAAACTATTCTACAAAACCCTACCATCCCCCCCCAAACACAAAACCCTCCACCCCATTAATACCCTCCAATCTTTCATATCACCAAACTCAATATCCCCTCTCAATTAAACCCCCCAATACCACCTCTATACCTCTACCATCTTTTCCCCCCCCCCCCCCCCCCCCCCCCTCACCCACCCCCAACCCACTCCCATACAAATCACCCCCCCCCCAACAATACTTACCCAAACCATCCCACTCCCCCCCCCCCCCCTTTATAAACTATACCCCCATTTAAAAAATATCCCACCCACCCCCCCAACCATAATAAACCCCCCCCTTCCTTCAACCCTCCTAAATCCCTATTTCCACTAAATACCCAAAATACAATACCCCAGCCCCATTACTCAAATCCCCCTTCCCAATCCCCCATGCCCCAATACCTCCCCCCTACTACATCAAAAATTAATCAAAATATCAAAAACCTCACCCAAAAACCACAACAATCAAACCAACAACATACACCCCCCCCCCAATCCATCCAATCCCCCACACCTTCCCCCCACACCACCCCCCCTCACCAATAAATTATCCCCTCATCTCAAAACTCCCCCCCAAACAACCTAACCACCCCACAACACATAAATCTCCCCCACTTAAATAAAGTTGCAACCATACTTATTTCACTCATAATATCCTATCCTTCACCCCAAAAGCCCCACCTTTAAATCGCACCCTACAACTTACCCCCCGCCCCCCCCCATTGGCATATCCCCTCACTCACACAGTTACACCTAACACCGTCCCTCACCCATCCCCCACCCCCCATTACACTTACCACTATCTAACTTCTGATCTTCTCCCTATCATCCTCACCCCAAAAACCAAAACCAAACCCCCCCCCCCCACCCCACTACACAAAAAAACACCACCCCTTAATCCTCCACAATCTACAAACACCCTACCCCAATATCTAAACTCATAACAAAAACTACATAACAAAATACAATCCAACCACCATACCAAACACCTCACACCACTACCCCCCCCCCTACCCAACCACTATTCTCCACACCCACCCCCCCCCCCCCCTCCATTCTCTCCTTACAATTCCAACCTCCTAATAACCCTCTTCTTACTTACCCCCCCTCTACCCCCCACCTCCCACACTCCCCCCCTCTCCCCCTCCATTTTCTAAAAAATCCACTACCCTTCTCAACCTATCCCCCCATCCCATCCTCATTACCCCCCCCTCCAATCCCCATCCCCCCTCCCTATAATTCTAACCCACCAACTTTCTCCTCCCCCCCCACTCCCCAAATTCCCCCCTTACCCATCCTACTCCCCCACCACCCACAATCCCCACCCCCTAACCCTCACCTAAACCACAACAAACAAACCCAAAACCATCCTCTCTATAAATAAATAATACCTAAAAAAACAACCCCCCCCCTAACCACACCTACCCCAAACACAACCCACCCATACACCTTACACCACCACCCCTATAATTCCATAAACATAATCCCCAATCTCCCTCACAAACACTAATCCTACAATCCCCCCCCCCCCAAACATAATCCACCCAAAAACACATTCCCTAAACTATCAAACTAACCACCCACATCAAAATCCTAACAATCCCCAACTCTAAACACAATACATAACACAACCCCAATTAACTCCATCAACCAAACCGTACACTTACACACAAACTTAACCCTTCCCTCCCCCCACGCACATTAAACACTTACACCTTACAATCCCATATAATTTCCCTAACCAATATCCCCCTACCATCTAACAAATAACCAATTATACCCAACCCACCCCCCCCCCCCCCCCCTACCATCTAATCCAACCCTTCTATATACCCCCCCCCACACCCCTACCCCACTAACCCCTAACCCCTACCCACAATCCTAACCAAAAACACTAAAATAAACATTCCCCCCTCTTCAACCCCCAATAACCAAAATTTCCAAATACACACACCACCCTCCCTCTCATTTACTCCTCTTACACTCCCATAACCTCTCCTTCTCCATCCATCACCACAATTACCCAGAAAAACTATACACTTTTCACCCATTTACTAACCCTTCTTAACCACCACCCTCCTCCTCCACTTTTTCTATCCCCCCTCCCCCACCCCCCACTTCACCCCACACTCCCTCCCATTTCAAACTACCCTATCATCACCCCCTAGTTCCATACAATTCAAATCTATCTCTCAATATATCAAACCCACCACTCCCCCTATCTCCCCCTTCATTCCTCTATCAACCATTACTCACCCTCTACCCCTTAATTCTCCCCATTAAACAACCCAATAATTCAAAACCCCTACCCAACCAAACCACCATTACACCCAAATAATTTAAAACACCACAAAATCCCCCCCCCACCCCCCCCCAATAAAAACCCCAAACAAACCACCCCATTCTAAACCCCCCTACCCACCCTTAAAAACCAACCACTCCAACCAAACCCCCCTTCCAAAATCAAACTACCCCCACATACTCAACCCCTAATCAATACCACCCATATCTTCACACTCCTTCTCTCATCCCCACCCTTATCCCCCCTCCCCATTTTCTCATTCCCCCCCACCTCCCTTCTATTCCCAAATTCACCCCCCCCCCCCCTTCTACTTATTCTATACCCTCACCCATCCCACCCCACCCCATCCCCCACCCCACCCCTTCACCAACCCTTACTCATTTTAACATCTCTCCTACACTAACCCAATACCCACTATACCACCCCCTATCCTTCAACAACACATATCCTCTTCACACCCCCATTCCCCACTCCCCTAAACAATTAAATCCACAAATATCAACAACAACCCACCCCACAAAACACATTACCACACCAAACACACACCAACCATAAAAATTTAACTATCACCCCTCAAAATAACACAAATCCCCAATAAACATACTTTCCTCAACCCACCTCTCACCCATTACAAATAACCACTCCCCCTTCACATCCACATATCACCTCACCCACCCCATCCAAACACAAAAACTAAAACCCTCATTTTACACCCCCAAAAATAAACTCCCCATCACCATCAAACTACCCCCCCTCCCTCTAAATAACCCCATAAATACTTAATATTTCCCCACCTCAAAAAAAACAAAACAAACACCCACCACCCCCCCCCACATAACACCCCCACCCCCCCCTCCCCCCACACAATCCCAATACCAATACAACAAATCCAAAAATAAAATACACCCCAAACCCACCCACCCACCCACCCAACAAAATACCCCCCCCCCCCCCAACCCCCCCCCCCCCCCCCCACCCTAAAAATAAATCCAACCATCCCCCCCACACAAAACCACCAAATACACCCATATCATCCCCATATCATTAACCCACAAACCCCCCACTCTCATTTCTTCTCAATAAATACTATACTCATCACACAAAACCCAAAAACCCCCCCCCCAAAACATAATTCCCCCACCTCAACTCACTCATATACCCCCCCACAACCCATCCATAATCCCACCTTACCATCACTCTAACTCTCACTCTTCCATAAAAACTCTCCCCTTCCCCCTAACTCAATATCTAACCCCCCCAATCACTAAATACCCAATCTTCTCACCCCCCTCACATACCCACCCCCCCCCATCCCAACAATCTTCACCCCCCAATCACCCTCAAAATCCAATCCCAAAAAATACCACACCCAAATCCAATCCCCAATCACAAAATCCTCCCCCCCCCCAACCCCCACTACAACAACCCCTACTCACCCCAACCAACTTACCCACCCCCCCACCCACACACTTCTACTCCACCCCAAAAAACTCCTTACTAAAACCCAACCCCCCACATAAATTTATTTCCCCACCCCCCATCCCCCCCCCATAAACCCCACCCCCATCCCCCAACAACATAACAAAACCACTATCCCCCTACCCACTAAACACCTCCCCCCCCCCACATACCTCCCTCCCTCCCCCATCCTCATCAATACCTCCAAACCCCCTATCATCTTCCACCCCCTATCATATACCCCACACCCATACCCTCCCAACCACCCCCCACCATCCCCATCCTTCACTAAATATCCAACCAACCCCCCCCCATATACACCAATCCCCCCCCCCAATACCCCCCCCCATCACCTCCAACTCATCCCAAATCACAAACCTTAACAACACCCACCCCCCCCCAATCTACTAAACAAATCCCCACACCCTATTACTTATTACCCACAAAACCCTCTTTAATTTTCAACCTCTCTTACACCTAAAAATTTCTTCCACCAAACCTTAAATATTTGACCAATCAATCCCACCTTTCATTCCAATCCCCCCCACAAACAAACAAAACCCCCTCACCCTTTATCCAAAAAAATCAACCCTACCTCCCATATTCCACTCTCATATATACACCCCCTAACACCACTAACCCAAAAACTACCCCACCCCCACCTACCCCATAACATCTTCCACCCCCTATCACTTTTTAACAAAAAAAACCACAAAACTTATCACCATCTTAATAATTCCACAACCCCTTACTAACCCCAACCAACCCACAATTAATACACTACCCTTACCCCCAAATCCACCCCCCCCATATACTCACAACAATAAACCAAAACCCCCCCTCACACCACCCCCAACCCACACCCCCTAAACAAACCCCCCCCCCTCCCCCCACCACCCCCCCCAAACCCCCAACAAATCCAATCACCCCCCTAACAAACATATAAAATTTCTCCAACCCCCCCCCCACCCACTCACCCCCCCCCCCCCATTCCACCACAAACTAACCCACACCCACACATCCTCATCTTCACACCTCCCCCACACTATACCCCAAATTCCACCATACCCAATCAACCAATCACCACCACCCACTATCCCCCCAAATTAAACACACCCACCCAAACCCCACCCCCCCCCCCCCACACACAACATCCTCCCAAAAAAACCCCCCCCCCCCCAACCACCCCCCACCCCTCCCCACACCCCCCCTCACCCCCCTCCACACACCCCCCCCCTAAATTCTATCACCACCTACAACAACCCACCAACATCCATCCACCAACCCATCCACAACCCAACCAATAACAACCCCCACTCCACCCAATATACCCACCCCCAACACCCCTCCTTAAAAATTATCCCCCCCCCCCCACCAATTCCCCCACCCCACAACACACCTCCATCACACATCTACTCACCCCATCAACCTCCTCACCTAAAACCCTCAACCTCCTTCTTTACCAAAACCCTATAATATCCTTACCCCTATCCCCAAAATCCAACCAACCCCCCCCCACAACCCCACCCCCCACACCCCACACATCCAACCCATCCCCTCACTACACCCCACACACACCAATCAACCCTACCACTACCACCACATCACAACACCCCCAAAACCCCCATTCCCCCTCCTCTTCCCCCCCCCCCCCCCCCCACACCCTATAACACCTATCCATCAATCCCCCCACATTCAATCCACACTAATTACCACACATATACCATTTACATCCTCATCACACACACCAAAACCCCACACTCATAAATATTAATAATATCTGTCTCTCACCAATCAGACCCACACCATCAACCGCCCTCCACACTATTCCACCACAAATCATAGTCAGTACTCCCCCATAACACCAATGTCCCACAAAAATTATCCCCAATTAAAACCGCGTAACACTCAACAATACACACAACAAAACTCACATCTCAGAAAACCAATATACAAACATACTCTAACTTCTCAGAGTTACATATATATTTACAATTAAACCAACTTACACTACTAAACACACCAATCCCCTCCCCCCATCCCAATATACCCCGCATCTTACACTATCCCCTAGTCATCACCAACCACCAGCTACCCACACCCCTAATCCAACCACACCACAACTAACCCCCCCCCACTATAATATCCCCATCCACCATGTCAATATCACCTTCCATTCCACCCCCCCCCCCACAAAATCCACCCATATAACTCATAACATATCATAACTATTCCTTGCATACATTACTCATAACAAACCTAACACCTAACAATCCACCTAAACTCCCACACCATAACATGTCACTCACAATACCCCCCCCAATCATAAGACAACCACGTTTATACAATAAACCCCCCTCCCAACCCCAAAATCATACTAAAATAGTCCTCGCCCAATCAATACTTTACGGTGACCACCCCCCCCCCCCATATTCCACAATACAACCCACCAAACCCCCCATCACCATACAGGCCCAAAAACCTGCTATCACTAATTATGACCACGCTGTATACCCATCCCCACTAACAGTCTCACTCCGTATACACACCCGAAAAACAATATTCTACTCTGATCGAGTAATATATAATCCACACCCACCCACCCAAAAACCCCATCAAACAACGTTATAAACTTATAATGATCTAAATTCAACACATACACAAAACATAATTATAAAATAACTATACCTCTCTTCCCCCCCCCCCACCCCCACTCTACCAATATGTGACTTCCCCCCCATACCAGTACACTAGCCCCCCATAAAATAATTAATGTAAAACCGTTATAAACATTACCCACCCCCCCCTCTCAACTACCCCCTAACAATATACATACCATCTCCCACCCATTTAATATTATAAAACCCCCCAATCCACTTACTCCATGTATCTACAACACCGTCCAAATCCCACAGCATGTACATCCTCAAGCAAAACATCACCTATAAGCTGTATACAAGAATATTACTACATTAGTCAAAACCCATTCATCCATCCAATTACCCCTCACACTGTACAAAATTTCTCCCCTTCAACTTCCCGCTCAAACCCCTCTATATAAAAATATACCACTACCACTTGAGGGTTCAAAGTAACTACTAGTTTGGAGTAATAACCTTAAATAGCAAATTTCATCTAATTTTCATTGGACAATTTTGCAAGATAGCCTTGGAATTAAGCAAAAATCCTTTCTTTTCATGAGGGGATTAAGTCGGCAGATCTTGGACACATCACGGAGCCTCATCACTTGTAAAGTATCACTCCGCTGCAGGTGTTCTTGCTCTGACTAATTGGGCTGTAGAACTATTTACTGTGCCTAGTAAAGAACTAATATGTCTTTTATTGGAACAGTTGGCAGTGGTTATGGCCCCCAAACAGATTTGAAGAAAACGACCTGCTAAAAAGTGGATTCTACTCTAGAGAGGGTTTGTTGATGACCCAATAGAGTTTATCTACTTGTTAATAATACTATTTTAATTGTTTGGTCGTTGCAAAATATCATGGCAATTCAAAGTTATAGGACAAGAAATGTTCAAGTCACAAAATCTGTATCATTGAGCTCAGAATTGCATTTTTTTTTATTTACAGCTGGATCTCCTCATTTTCAACCTATCAATGGAACTACAATCTAACTTGTTCCTGGCTCTAAAACAGTGTCTCTATCTCTAACTCTATCATTCGTTTTCACATTCATGTAATTGTTGGTACACATCTATAGATCTGATTTTTCCAGACAGAAAAGGGAAAAAGAGAAGATAAATCTCACTCAAACAATCTCCCAGCTCGAAGTGTTAAATAGTGACTCACAGGGCTCTTTCTGACAAGTATGAAAAATATGTTTTTCAATAATCAGACCACAACATTCTGTTTGTTTTAGATTTGTACACAACATTTATTTATTTATTTATTTCAATTGTGGACAAAACAAAACTTCACATAATACAATTACATTTCAAATAATTGTGATCTTGTCGCACAACTGAAAAGGAGCAGAAAGAAGAAGAAAAAAAATCTTATGTTGCCAGCCTCAAAGCATTTTTACATAACTCTTTCTGTTGGGACGAATTCCATGTATCATTTGCTAAACTAAAAAGTTTGATACCCCAGCTTTAAAACTAGAAAATAGGGAAATGCAGTGAGGAGCTTAGTCACATAGCAGGAGCTTGGGCTATGAACAAATACCAGTTATCTCTGATTTAATCTTCCCTACATAAACAATGTTCAAATATAACAATTCGTTGAACGTACCCAAATACTGTAGTTTTAAAGGATATTTCCAGAGATATTGTATGTTGAATAATATCTCAGAAGAGGCCATACCATTATCTTTTCTAGTTTCCAGTGTTGTCCTCTGCACATATAGAGTAGCCGTGCACTTGTATGACTCTAGTGTACAATGAACTATACTTCGCTCATAACCCCAGCTCTCTGAATTATGCTGTGATTTTGAGTGGGCATGGGAGGGAGGTGCATGTATCTTTAGCACTCCGGGTTTGATCCAATGGTCCACTCCTGGCATGTGGGTGTTCAGGCCCCATGGCTGTGTCACCGTGAGTGCAGCTCTCCGTCTATAGCCTCACATGTATTAAATCAACTGTAATCTGACATATGTGGAGAATCAAAGCCATGGTTGAAAGAAGTCTTGAAGTAAAAACTTATGACTGAGAAACTCATGTTAGAATAAAGTTACATGGTGATTGGATGTCAAAAAGAGTAGAAAACCCAACAAAGGAATATACCATGATTAGAATGAAGTTACTTGGAAAATCCAACAATGGAATAAACCAGGGGTCTCCAACCTGTGACTCGGGAGCTACCAGTAGCTCGCCAGCCTGGGCGGCACGGTGGCTGAGTGGATAGCACTCTCGCCTCTCAGCAAGAAGGTCCTGGGTTCGAATCCCGGTCGGACCAGGGCCTTTCTGAGTGGAGTTTGCATGTTCTCCCCGTGTCTGCGTAGGTTTCCTCCGGGTACTCCGGTTTCCCCTACCACTAAAAACATGTCCAATAGTTCTGGCATGCGCCTCCTGTACTGGCGACCCGGCTCCCATCTCTGTCTGGAGTGAGAGACAAATGCCCAAAAATTAACAATTGTAAACCGCTTTGTTCCAGAACAAAACGAAAAAGTAACGCAATAGTTACTTTTACTGGTAACTAGTTACTTTTATAGTGGAGTAACTCCGTTAGTAACTCAGTTACTTTTTGGGAGAAGTAACTAGTAACTATAACTAATTACTTTTTCAAAGTAACGTGCCCAACACTGCCAATACCGATACCGATACCAGAGCTATGGGTTTCTGCCGATACCGATATTGACCGATACCGGAAATGATCATGCTAAAATGTATTTAATAATTGAACTCTTTGTTCAAGTAACTGCAAAAGCAGTGGATGAACTAAAGCACTAAACTTTCCAGATAAAAATGGATTCAACATAAATGTGCAATACTGCAACTATAAAGAGCTGCTCATGTTCACATTAAACATTCCAAAACTGTATTATACCTTATACATTTATTGAATATAAATGTACTTATACTAACTGTGTTTGAATAAAAAAACACAACAAACAAAACACGCTGCATGAAAATGTAAATAAATAATAGTAACGTAGCTTTAACTGGATTTCAGATATGTATTTGGCGACGGCATGTACCTGGGTTCCAAATGGTCTATGGGGCCGCGAGCCTATGATGAACTCCAACACTTTCGGGTCAGTGTCATCTGTGTCTCGTTGTTTTCACGTAATCTCCTTTCGATGCAAAAACTCCCCATGCTGTTTCTCGTGGTGCTTAGTCGTGTTGTATTTCGCTAGTTTACCGCCGCGTGAACAACGCTGATTCTTTCCTGCGCTCCATGCTGTGTTGTTGTTGTTGTAGAGCGCCACGAGGAAGTGACGTGTACGTGAGATCTGATAAATTACTTTTAATTCATTCATTTTATACGTATATGTACATTATGCACAATGTATTTTAAGACATTGTGCGGTACCTGGTATGTATAAAAAAATATATATGATGTTTTTTTTTTAAAGAAAAGAAAATGGATCGGCAGCACGGCGCCTCTCTCTACGCAGATATCCGATCCAGTATTTTTTCTGGTATCGGCGCCGATATCGATACCAGTATCGGATCGGTGCATCCCTAGTTTTGACTCTGGACTTGAGTCAACCCTTTAGCAAAAGTTCCTGACTTCAAAACAGCTTCCCACAGACTGTTTCCCATTCCTTTTCTCACATATTAATATTTTATTAACTTAATAAATGTCTGAAAAATCTCTGGCACCAAACAAGTATCTGTTTGAGAGAGCCTTATTGTTTCATGCCATTCAAGTTGTGGTGAGAATAAGAAGTAATCAATAATATGAAAAAGATCTTAAAAACAAAAATCTAACAATATCAGACGTTTTTCTTGACATTGCAGCAATTTCCTTGCAAAGCTCCATTTCTTTGACAAGTAAAAATGTACAAACTATTCCCCGCAACGTGTGAAGCCGGCCTTTGGAAACAACATGGAATGGATTTAGCACAAAAACCCTTGTTACACCCTTTGTCTATTTTCTTTAAAGACCTACAAGAATGGAGTGCAAATACATGGCTAGTGAAGTTGAGGTAGCTTTGTCCCCTCATGACTCTTCACTCTTATTACAAGTGGAAACAATCTCTGCACAGCTAAAGATCACATCCCAAAGTCTGCCACCATTTTATTCGGTAAATATAAAGGTTGTGTCTGGACTGTAAAATACTCCACTGAAAGATCAAGGCTATGCTCACACTCAGAGAGCAGCCGTCCTCCTGTGGACTCACCACCTGCAGAGGGTCAGTGAGGGGCTGGTGCTATGAGACTTGGGTGGCATCTCTGACTGCCACCCCCCTGACCCAGAAATGGATTAAAGGGAAGAAAATGGATGGATGGATGGATGTCTGGACTGTAAAATAAACTGTTGGGTTTTTATGTCCCCCCCTTTCACAGCTGAGGAAAATGTCACAGAGAGAGAGAGAGATAGGTCATGTAAGAAGTTAGGCTATTATAGAATACATGTAAAATCCCTATTCTGTGCACCTGTAAATAAACCACACCTGCTACATTCTAAGATTAAGTTGTTGTTTTTTTCACCCATTTTGGCCACACTTGAATATAGGCTGCAGGTTTTCATGTTTTAATGTTAGTTTCAATGAAGGTTGATGATAGACAACTGTTTTAACTGGACAAAATGTTAATGTGTTTTTAATTGTGATGATCAAAGCGCTTTACAAATCCAATCTATTCTGACAATAATTGTGTGTCCCATCCCTACTGAGCCTCAAACTAATAATTTTGTTATGCAGTTCATAAACAGCTCTGACAATAGCCTTAACCACAAGTCCTGTGCATTTCCCAACACTTTCTCGTGTCGTCTCTCTGCTGTTCACAATAACACATTGGAATGTCATCAGCTCTGGAGATCAACAGTGGATAACACCGTGTCCAAATCCATTCCCTTTACCAAAATAAAAATCCATACAGTACATTGGCTGCATTGCTATATAGGCCAGAGGATTCAAATAACATGAAAACGTAGAGGCTTACAGTCCACCGCAAGTACTGTATTTAGAATTTTTTTTAATTTTTGAGTTTGTACTGGTCCTGATTCATCCTAGAAGGTTTAAATCAAATGAGGTTGGGCCTTTAGGGACTCTAGCTGTTACATGTGCATACCTATCTATAGAAATGGAGCCTCATTTGGTTCTCATTATGTTATTATCATGTATCCCCAGTCCACCAGGACCACTGTCCACTGTCCTACTTGTTGATTTATTGATTCTATCTTCCCCCATTTATCTCCCATGTCCCAAAAAAATCTTAACCAGATAACCTGTATAGCCAAATAGACCAATTTCTTAAAATATTCCTGCTACTTATTTCTACACAAACAACATACCTGGTTTGAACGTAGCTACATAATCTTGTTTTTGTAGTCTCGTCGTATTTACAAACTGTAACTACACACGTCTTTTCCCATTGGACACTGGATCATTATTCATCCCGTAACCTTGGCAAAGAAATTGCAGCATCTGTGACCCCATAGTGTAGCATCATGTGGTTTCATATGCTAATTCTCAACACTGGGAAATAGTCATAGAAAAATTCTGAAATAACATTGGCCTTGTTGCACTGTAGACTCCGACTGGGAGCGAGGGAATATTGTGTAGAGAAGTCTCATCTCCCCCAGGTCCTAATATACGCTGCTTTTACAAATACAACAAGATGGATTTTGCAAGTTGTATCTTTGACCTAGATAAATATTGGGGTTTCCATGTTCTTTCAGTACAGAGTGTTAGCCGTTCAATGTGATCTGTGCAGTGGTGGAAAGCACTTATTTACAAAATGTCTTTTTAAATCCTTGAAAGTTGTGTTTATGTCTATCAGATCCAGTGTTTTTCAATCATCGTACTTTGAGATGTTGTTTGGTGTGCCTTTGAAAATGATCCAATACCCCCTTATTGGTCAAAATAATGTGAAAAAAAAAATGTGAAAAGATTAGAAAGACTTGTGCTTGTTTGATTTTCTAAACAATACATGTAGATGAGAATGATTTTGAAATGACTCAGAAATATATTTTTGGCGGGTGGTGAGCAGTGTGATTGTTTTAAATGAAAAAGGTGTTCAATCAAAAAGGTTGAGCAACACTGACCTGACCATCAATTATATTACTTGGTACCCCAGCTTTACTGTTAAACCTGGGGTACCTAAATCCTGTTGTTTTGTCCCAATAGAAATAGTCTCAGCCCTGTGAGCTACTTTTTAATGCTTTGGGCTGAGAGCTGATGTCTGAGTGAAGGAGGTGCTCTCGTTTTCACTTTTCAGTCTGATAAAGAGCCGTTTGCATGTTCTCATCGTGCCTGCATAGGTTTCCTCCGGGTGCTTCGGTTTCCCCTACCACTAAGAATATGTACACAAGCCGAGTATCAAAATCTGGAGATGGGTGGTTCCCGGGCGCTGTTACTACGGCGACCACTGCTCCTGACGTAAGCCTTAGTGGCATCAGTATGGGTCAAATGCAGAGGATGAATTTCCCTACAGGGATTAATAAAGTTCACCTTTACCTTTATCTTTTGCATGCTAAGAAGATCCCTCAGAGTCACTGTTTGACACTTTGGGCTGAGAGATGATCGGCGGAGTGAGGTTGGTTTATTACTTTTCTGTCTGAAACAGCCAATCTACAGATGTGAAACCAAAAATGCATGCATGTGAAAACTTGTGATAGAACAGTTTTGAATGATGAACTCTATTGGATATTATCAAAAAGATCAATTTATTGTGGCTTCAAAGTTAGGTACCCCAGCTTTATCTTACAACCAGCACACATGCAACACACGTCTCCTGTTTCACGACTGGTCCTGAACAAAAAAGTGTTAATTAATTGAAGAAGAAAAGCATTTTGGTTTATTTTTACTCTTTGAATTTGAGAATGTATAATATTTTGCTTGTCACGACTACGGTCAGATCCGTTCCGTGGACTTCCCCGTATCCATAAAGTATAATCGCCTGGCTTCTATCATTATGCAACATCCTCCTTTTTTTTTTTTTTTACCGTGCATGCATAGCTTCCTGTTGTTCTACAAGCATTAATATTCCCATAGCATTGTGGATTTACTACCTCATTTGAAAGCACTCATGAATCATACAAGCCTAATGAGCCAAATTGTGCGCTCAACAGTTGTGCTTTTTGAAGGGCATTAATGATCGGTCGGGGTTAACGGCGCTCATGCTGCTTCCAATGCTCTGTCTATTACCCAGAGATCAATAGCTCTTGAGCAATATGTCATTAGGGTTATTAGAAGGCCGCTGTGCTGTATGATGATGAGCAGAGGGGGTGGGGAAGAGTTGAAAGGTGCAGTACATCCGTCCGCTTTCCATCCCTTTGTGAAGACCGGGATGCCAACATTTGTATATGCTCAACATCAAAGCTTTTATCCATAGTTTTATTTTCAGGCTTTTTTTGCTTGTTCCCTTGACCGTCTTAACAATGACTCTGAGCAAGACAGGACACTATAGATCTGGGGTGTTGAACTAATTTTGGTTGGGGACAATTTAGGCATGAATAGCAGGTCAGGGGCCGAAAGTATACAACGGAACATTTCTAATAGTGGAAAGTTTGTTTATTTTCTGGAAGATTTTATTAAACAAAATTAGGCAAGGCAAGTTTCTTTATACAGTACAATTCATACACAAGGCAACTCAAACTAGGTTGGATTGAATCAAAACAGTGGAGAAAGCTTGCTCAACAGACCAATGATGTAGTGAGGATTTTTTTTTTCAATGTCTAATGATTTCTATTGATCATACCCAACAATACATTCAACTACATAAGGTATGTGAATTATAACAACAGTCGTCCTATTTACCCATAATGCTATAAGACTAGTCCTCAAGACACCCAGTGGCAAAATGTTATTATCTTGTATTATATTATTTTGAAAATGCATTTTTTATCAATAATTTCTAATTTTGTTATAATATAATTGACTACACATATCGTGAAAATATTCAAGCTTTTATTTATTGTAATTTTTTACCTTTTGTACTTTTTTACTATATATATATCATGGGGTAAAGAGATACATGAGAATATGATCATATTTTAAGAAGCTGTGGCTTGTTATGTAACACACAAATTCCTTACTTTTGCTTGGTCTTTTTGTTTACTTGTTGAAGTCTTATCAACTTAAATAATGACAGCAAGAAATATGTCTATTATTGGATCTTCTGTGTTTCGTTCCGGTCCATCCTCATTGCAACATATCTCTCCATGTCATTCCTCACACTCGTATTGTCCACCTCAAGAATAGTCCATTCACCAACGCCAGTCCATGTTCTGGTTATTTACCTGGTCTTTAAATGTCACCATCACTGCCACAGAGCAAAGAATGTAGCATTATTACCACTGGAGAACATATTTTTGTTCAGAATCGGCTCAATTTACTTCATGGCAATACTTTAAAGTTCAAAGTCAGGCAGAGTTGGACAAGAAGCAAATTTCAAAAGGGGAAAGTTGGAAGGTTGACTTTGAGGCAAGATAGAGCAAGAAAACTGGCAAATCCGAACAATGATAAGTTGTGAGAGGAGCAGCTAAAGGCCTCAAATGAAACTATGACAGCTCTTGGAGATGGATGGATATTGGAATGAGAAGATTGCAAGAGAAAGAGTGATGCAACGTCCACCAGATAAGATGAATTGTGGGCGACCAAAAACGAGGGGATTGCGACTTTGGAGGTCAGACAATCACGGCTGTACGAGGGTAAAAATGTTAGAAAGCTGTCAGGCTAAGGTCGTTTTGCTGAATATATTCCCGATTGACAGTGCCGAAGCATGCAGGAGAAAAGCTGTAAATATCCCTCACAGGGTGGCACCAGAGCGGAAACCCGTGGAGAGTGCAAACATTTGTTTTGATAAGAGCGTAACTCCGGCGGAAGGCGATGGCGTGAAGTCAAGCGCTGCAAATTTGACTTTTGATTGTTGCAAATATCTTCTAGTTAAACCACCAAACTGCAATGGATTTCAACAATACCAGGCCTTTATAACACGTTGAAGCAGTTTCTCTCGTCATTTTGGGAAAATTCAACTTATTTTTGGCGTTCAACTTATTTTCTACTATGTTGCATGGCCTTTTACAGGTTTTCACTAAATGTAAAACAAAATCAAAAGTGTTCAGGAAAAGCCATTTTTCATCATGTTTGTGCGGTGTGCCGTGGATTGCAAAAGCACTAATGAAACAACTTGAACATTTCAACTGTATCTTAAGATAAAAAAATAATAAAAATGGAGACTGCTCAAGGCTTAGACAGGGATGTTTTCTTTCATAAGGACAATAAAATGTGTTAGAATGGCCAAGTCAAAGCCCAGACCTAAATCCAAATGAAAATCTGGAAATACCTGAAAACTGCTGTTCACAAACTCTCTCCATCTATTAACATAGCTTGTCTGTAAAGATGAATGAAAAAATCATCTTAAGATATGCAAAGCTTTTAGAGTCAAAATCAGTGCTGTGATTCAACATAAAGGTTTCCACAGACAATGAATCCATGTTGGATGAATACTTGGGCTTTATGTCTTTCAAATCATGGATCATTTTCCTTTTATTTCATTGTTGTGTTCTTCCAAAAAATATAGTATTCTACACAATGCTCTGATTGTGTGACTCTGATTTTATACTTCTTGAATAAATCTACCGCGGCTTTATGCTTATGTCATCTGTGGCATTGACAGACAGTATTTTAAGTATAATTGCAATTTTACTTTTGCATGCACTCAATAAATTACACATTTTATTGAAAGCCCAAAGACACGAGCCATTGCCTGCAGTGGTAGTGATCTTCAAAGTGCTCTTCCCTAGAACCTTTTATGTAAATAGGGGAAGGCTTTGCTCAGCACTTCAGAAATGAAGGATACAGAAAAAGATATGCCTTTCTTGGCCTTTACGCTTAAAAATACAAAACATAATCTTCCTTAAATGAACATAGGTGAATCAATTCTATTTAACAGGTATTTTGTGTATAGGAAACGGTAGAATAAAGATACAAGGGACACAGATATACCAATACTTCTCTGCACAATTTTTTCATTTAGTTATAAAATTCCAGAAAATACTTCTATGTCCCCATGTTCCTTTTCCAAACAAGAAGGGAGCCTGCATTATTATTGACAATAAAAATGTGAAACTTTTCTCTGGTTTCAACTGTTTGTCAATTATTTCAAAGCTACAGCGGTAAAATAAGAAAACAAAAAGAAACTAAATTGAAATCTGCAGAGAGAGACAGACTTTGAAAGCAATTGAAAGAACAAACGGTGTCAGGTTGACGTTAATGGGGAACAAGGAATGTGTCATATTAAATATAGATGCGTCTGTTATGCCATATGAAATATACATGAAACGGCAACTCGACATCTGTATCAACGTGTTAAGGAGAGCGACGGGCAGAGTGAGAGGCATTGTGGGTAGAAAAAATACATGCGTAAAAAGGCTTGACATTGTTTGATCTCCTGCTCCTTTCTTCCTGGAGACTGAAAGGCTCTTTTGTGTCCAGATACGGATCGATATTTCACCGCTGCCGTTGTGTTGTTGATCCTTTGTGTTTAAGGCGCTAATCAGGGGTTTTAGACCTGCTGCGTTTAGACCGGTCTCATGAGAGGAGGAGGAACAGGAGGACTCGTAATCCGACTGTCACAACTCAAGGCGCGTGTGTGTCTATGCTTAAGTCTGCGCTTAACATGGAATCATAGTCTCAGCGGGTTGTTAAGAGACATTTTTTGTAATGGATAAACAGAGATGTACTATCCAATAGGCATAAGACTTGTTCCCACTGAGCCAAAAGTGTGCTTACATACTGAGCGAGGAGCATGCTACACAGAGGTCCGGGAGAAGTGTGAATCATGGTGAGGTTAAAGAAATAAATTGCCAAGCTTTGAACTTCTCACAGAGCAGTTTAATAATCTGGGAATGGCGAGAGTATAGCACAACTGAAAATCTACCAACACTCAGCTGTCTGCCCAAATTAAGAGTTGAATAAGGACAACATTGACAAGACAGAACGATTCAGCGATCAACCTGCCTTGCGAACGAGTTTTTTTGTTGTTCAATGTGATATACAGTAGCACTAGTTTAGACAGCATGACAACCAAATTGTTTTATGACCGTTGCTTACATGGGGTTTAGGTTGTAAAAAGCTGACTTTCTCGCTCTACATATTTTCATGTCCTTGTAGAAATGCTATCTTTTAATTATAATAAAATCAATCATCAAAATCATATGCTAGTATATACTTATGGTCAAGACACTTAACCCCACTTTGCCTGAAGCCCCCGCTGAAAGATCAAGGCTCCTGTGGACTCACCACCTGCAGGAGGATCAGTGAGGGGCTGGTGCTATGTGTAATGGGTGAAGCTTTGACTGCCATCCCCCGACCCAGAAATGGATTAAGGGGAAGAATTTTTTTTTAACTATTTCATCAATATTCTTCCCCCAACCTAGAAAGTTTCTGTTTTTAATTTGTCATTTCTAGTCGTCCTATGCACTGGTTTTGGCTGTGGACATTGGATGTTGTTACGCTGTTGTTGTTTTTGTGCATGGGAACTATATGTCTAAAAGTGAATATTTTGAGATTTTTATACCTGATATTAGCATGGATGGATTTGAAAACAACTGCAGTTTTTGTTAGTTTTTTTTAATGAAAGAAGCAATATTAACATGTTGTCTGTGTTGTCTTGCAGTGGGCAGAAACCAGTACGAGAAGATGGGCAGTGATGTCACCATGTTGTGCGGAGCTCTGGACAACAGCACGTCCGTCACATGGAAAGTGAACGGCACCGACGTGAAGGCCCCTCACCGGGTGGAAGGGCCCAGGCTCCTGCTCACTCGCGTCAACAGCAGCCACAACGGCCTCTACAGCTGCTTCCAGAACCCCCACGGAGAAAGGCGGGACTCCATCAACCTGCGCATCGGACGTAAGTGCACGACCGCTACACGAGCATCGCCAGAGGTGGACAATGGTGTCAGAAATCAACATCGGATCATGTTTTTGGAGTGTTTTATTATTCAGTGATTATCCATTTAAAAGATAAATAATTGCCTAGATATTCATCTGCTTAAACTTAGGATGAATTTGTATTGGTCAAGGTTCAAAATGTGAAAAAAATAGATTGTATTGTGGAGATTTATATAGATTTATATTACTATTTTGAAATGTTGATATTTTTTTCAAATATTTGTTCTATATTTTAATGCTTTTAAATATAGTTCTTTATTTATTTTTTAAATTAAAGAAAGAAATAAGAACAGTGATATCCCGCTGGTGACGTAACTGGTTCTAGAACGCACCTCCTGCAAGGTCATTTTACAATTCGGTGTAAAACTATTAATTTATTTTAAATGTTTAAAAAAATAACCCATTTTTAATATCATGCAGTTTGGACTATAAACCATAGCAATATTAAAATGTTTTTCAAATCAAACATTGCGATACTGTTTTCGACATATTGCCCACCTCTACTCATAACTGGCTGAGGATTTTCTTATTTTTTTATGATTGAATTAGGTTTGAAAAATGCTAGGTAGCTTTGGAGTCCTACTACGACTAGAAAACTTCAAAAACTGTTTCGGTGGCCGCAGTGGCTTTTGACGTTTTTGGCGCGACGTTGACATTTTGTGATATACGTTTTTAATCGTGTGTTAATTTAAAGCTTTCTAAACTCATGGACATCTGCAGTATTACACAACCATTGGCGTTGTGTGTAATACCTTGGAAATTAATATGGACACACAAATGTTTTGCATGTTTGTTGTAATTCATGTATGACCTACAGTTTCACGTTTTCCAATTCCAATCCAAGTACTCTCTTCTTGCCTTTGCCCACTCCTTGTCAGCGGAACTTCGCAAAACTATATCACACTTGCTTTGTTGTGCGTATTCCGTTCGTCATGTGTGCGTTAGAGCTTGCCCGAGAGTTTTAATTACGAGTTTGGAGTTACGCTGGAGGTTTCACGCGGCCTCTTGTTGCCTTGTAAATTAGAAGTAACCTATGTGAACCTCATAGCTGATTGCGTTAAGTTGCGATGAGTGTATTTTGCTGTGAGCATGCATATATTAAGGACATTATGGCGGAAGATTATAGAGCTTAAAGGTCAATACAGCCTTAAGCATAAGTAAGTGGTGCATTTAGAGACACACTTCATCTGTGCTCCTTCTACATTACATTACACTATCTATGCTCCGCAGACCTCTGATAATGAGGACAGAAATTACATGTACAGTTATGCTTGAAAATGTACGCAGCCAGCCAGAGATTTCATTGGTGACCCCTGAGTATCCAAAAAAAGCACTGTATAAAACCAATGTATTATTATTTGTATTAATCAATGTTTTGGCCATATTTTTGAGATCCTTAGTCAGACCTGAGAGAATCTGTGGGCTCGGGGCACTTTCACATTTCTGTCCAGCCTCCAAACCCTACCCAGTAATAATCTAAAGAAAAATATGGCTTTCTAAATCAGTACAGAATATGGCGATGCTTTGATTGGCATATTGCTTCAATCCAAGCAGAACCAAAAGATACTGAATGTTGTGCAGTGTGACAATATCCCTATACATACAGTACGTCTTCATAAGTTTGTGTAAGCTCTCAGTCGTACAGGGATTAGTCAAAGCAAAGGAAGGTTTCTCACCCATCATCTGTACTTCTTAGCAAGTTTTCCCGACGTTTCGTCCTCAACCTAGCGGACTTCTTCAGGGAATGAATTCTCGGACCGCGCGTTGGAGATTTATAACCTATGGGTGTGGTTAGCATTTTCAGAACACATTAATTCGGTGGACCCTTTTATAAATTTCACTCGCGAGGATGCTAAGGAGAGTGAACTCGCCTTTCTAGATTGTAAGGTCATCATACTGGAGAACGGACAATTAGAGACTGAGGTCTTCAGAAAGTCCACTCACACTGACCAGTACCTGGCCTTTGACTCAAATCATCCGCTACAACACAAACTCGAGGTCATTAGAACGCTTCAACACCGAGCCCACCAGGTCCCCACTAGCTCGGAGGGAAAGAACAGAGAAACCAAACATGTTCAGAGAGCACTTTCCAGATGTGGCTACCCCAAGTGGTCTTTTACTAAAGCCCAAAGGACGAGAAAGGCCAGAAACACAGTCCAACAGACAGAAGAAAGTAGGAGGAGAGGCGTGTCCTTACCGTATGTGGCGGGAGTTTCAGAGAAACTACAAAGAATCTTTAGGCAACACAAAATCCCTGTGTATTTCAAACCTTTCAACACGTTAAGACAGAAATTAGTGCATCCCAAAGACAAAACACCCAGACACAAACAGAGCAATGTGGTGTATTCAATTAAATGTAGTGAAGAGGACTGCACTGACCACTATATTGGAGAAACCAAACAAACTCTACAGAAACGACTTTACCAACATCGTAGAGAAAACTCTAGTGGGCCACAGTCGGCTGTTCATCTCCACCTCAAGGCCTCCAACCACACGGTGGATGACACAGAGGTTAAAATTCTGGCTCGGGAGAAGAATTGGTTTGAGAGAGGAGTGAAAGAAGCCATTTTTGTGAGGAAACAAAAACCTTCTCTTAACAGAGGAGGAGGGTTAAGATTTGTTTTGCCTCGCATCTATGACGACATCCTAAAATCAACGCCCTAACTTGGGACAAGGTCAGTGACATGCTAATGAGTTAGGAGGGGTGAGACCTGCACTCCACTTGAGCATCCCAGCAGACAATAGGTCTGTGACATGCTAAGGAGTTAGGGTCGTTAGCCTCAGCAGGGTCGTTAGACCTGCTCCCTTCTACATCAAGCAGACCGTAGATTGTTTATGAGTTAGTATCAGGATTAGGGTGTGGCTTACCACACCCATAGGTTATAAATCTCCAACGCGCGGTCCGAGAATTCATTCCCTGAAGAAGTCCGCTAGGTTGAGGACGAAACGTCGGGAAAACTTGCTAAGAAGTACAGATGATGGGTGAGAAACCTTCCTTTGCTACGTCTTCATAAGAAAATATTCAAAACTGTCTCTCCTCTTGGAATTAGCATCGCCAGTAGGATTTGCTGGGGCATAGTCAGACCAATGGTGAGGGGTTGTGGGTCTCACTGATGCTGGAAATAAATAAAAAAAGGCTCTCCAACTAACCTTTGCTTTAATAAAGGGCCATTACACTTTGAAGAATTGGGGGATGGATACTTTATATCAGGTCGTGGACAGTATATTGGCGTCATTGTAATTTTAAAATAGAAAATGTTTTTGCCATATCATTCATTATCTCAGCAAAATATATATGTTTTCCCTGCACAAGCACAACTGCATATACAGTATATATATATAAAGTTGTCAACCTTTTTAAAGTTTCGTTAAGGCTTTGCTGTGCTAAAGTGACCCAGACGTGCCGTGCTGTTAAGCAAATTACCACCATCCTATTTTTGGAACAATAGATTTGCACACAGTGTCAAGTGGTGACATTATCCAACGCTGTTAACAACTCTTGAAGCAATGTGCTCCTAAATTACACAACTCATCAAATCTTCATTATCGCAGAGAGGCTCTTTTCAGTTGTTTTGTGATTAGATGCAGAACCATTTACTCCCTAACTGAATTCTTTGTTACGACAGATGGTTTAATATAGATTTGGATACAGTTTTGGTAAAGTATGAGGCTTGAATGAATACACAAAGGGGAGATGAAAAGGACATGATCTGCTGCTAGTTACTGATTTGGCAAAAGGACAGAGGGGAAAGAGTGTATTTAAAGGAAGAGGTCTTGGTTGTGAAGCAAAGCGTTATTTTTGGAAATAATTTTGTATAATATTTATGTTTTTGAAACTAGGAACAGACTTTTTCCTTGCACTTCATATCTGCTGTGTGTGGCTGTGTGCTTGTGTGTTCCTGCTACTTAAGTTGTAAGTTTAAGCTTCATTTTTTAAGACAATGTGCAGTTGCATTAAAAAGATGGCTGCATCGGATTTAGCACCAAGATACTTTCCACCTGTAGTCCTTAACTTAGAACCACGTTTAACACAAATATCAATTTGATGCTTACTTCCAAGGGTAGAATTCTCATGGTTTCTCAAAATTTCTCATAATTTACCTACACAGGATCAACATTTCCTGGGTAGTTATTTAGAGCTTAGAACCTGTTGCCGTATCCGCTTTAATTCTGAATATTACATTAAAAAGAACAACAACAAAACAAAACTTACATTATAACACAAATGACCACATACAAATCCAGCCTTTATTTTGTTTATAGTAATACACCAAACAGGGTCTTCCACCTTGTTGCAACCATATTTTAATCCCTGCCATGAAGACCAAGGCGAGAAAAGTCAGTGAAATCCTCAATTTAATAACAAGTATCAAAATAGATCTTGTTGAAAAATTTTAGTAACATGAAAACAATAGCAAAATAATAATGTAAAATGGATTCATATTTCCTGTGGTTGTAAAGTATTGTATTCAAACCTAAATGTAGACCTCACAGTAGCACATATTGTCAGTTGTGGAGCTTTAACTTTGTTTAATCAATAAGTCACCACACAGTCTATCGATTCAGACTGAGCACCCACTGACACAGCGCAAAACCGGCTCAAGAAAAACCTGCAGATATGGAATATAAACACAAATGCACAAGCTGTGTGAGTGGAGAACATACATATGCAAACATTAGATATTTGTGGGTTTCTTATATTGTATAATTGTATAATATACTGAGTGTTCTGTGTGAGACAGTAAAAAACATCAAACTTGTGTATAGTCTTTGCTAACAAAGGTCACATGACAGTGTGTTGTGACAATGTATCAAGAGTCCATCAACGTCTGAGCTTTTCCACACATTGCTCTTTCCTTTATTAATTAAGTGTATATTTTCATAGTCCATTGTAATGCAAATCCCTGGGGTCTTACACTTTAATTCACACTCCCATCAGAACAAAGTGGGGGACCACAACACATTAAGAACTCGGACTTACTTCAAATTTGCCTTCACTTTTATATTTCGCATTAACCTGTCCTTTTGTAAAGTGTATTTGAGTGTCTAATGTATTA